CTCCCCCGCCCTCAAGACAGCCCCAGCCCTTCAGCCGGCTCCCCAGGCCCAGGTGAGGCTGATGCTACTGGCAGGTGGCTCACCGCTCCCGAGTCCCTCGATAGTTCCCTGTGCCCCAGCCCCTCTGTGCATCCCGGGGTTGGCCCACAAGGTTACATAGGCTCTGGTCAAAGGCTGGGTTTTTATCCAAAAACTTATTTGAGGTGTTGGCTGGTTCTACAGTCCAGAGAGCTGGGAGACAGATACATCCCTCCACACCTCAGTACCTAAAGAATCCCGTCTTCAGGCCATAGTTCCGGAGGATCCGTTCAGTGAAGGCACAGGTGGAGCCCTAGAAAGAGAAGTTCTTGTCTGGGCAGTCCCCGCCCCACCCAGTGGATACGCTGTCCCTCCCCCGGATCCCGCCCTTCACCTTCCCCTTGGTCCCAGTAACGTGGATGATGTTCAGCTGGTCCAAGTCCTCCACCTGGAACAGAAAGACAAGGTCCTCAACTTAGCAACAGGACTCACAGGCAAAGAAAAAGGGGGGGGGGGGTGGTCACAGGCCCTGCCCACGTTACCTGCAGCCCACTCCGTGCCAAGTACAGCTTCATGGTTTCCAGCTGTGTCTGGAGGTCACCCCGCCGGCGCTTCACCTCCGCCAGGTAGCTGGCATTGGTCTGCAGGCTGTTGAGGGTGCGCACAGCGTCCTGGCAACAACAGTCCCCGTGGCAGGTTAGGGATCACTTGGGGTCCACAGGGACAGGGGCACCCAGTGTACCAACGGCCAGGCCAGGGCACCCACCTGCGGGACCAGCCCTGTTGCCCAGCTTTGAAGTTAGAGAGAGAAGTGGCATCATTCCAGCCCTGGCGCCAATGGGAGCCTAAGGCAGCTCAGCCCCTCCCAGGGAGTGCCAGACTAACGGGATTAGCCTTGCTTTCGGTTTCAGTTCCCCAGGCCCCACCCCTGGGGCCTTTGCTCTCATTCCCTCCAATGGGGTCCACCACTGTATTGGGCCCCTTCTGGGCTGGGACTACTAGAACCACAGAAGGCTCTAGAACTGGAGGTCTAGAGCTGGAGGAATTAGCATAAGGAATTCCTAAAGTCTTCCTTCCATGCCTAACCCTGATGATTGGGGCTCCATATTCTGATCAAAAGTAAAGCTGCCTGAATATGAGGTAGTTTCTCAACTATTAGTGGAGGGGTGGTATCCCCACTTGAGATAAGGTGATGGCTGTTTAAATTTGTGTGTGTGTGTGGGGGGGGGCCTGCAGGGCTATTTTGTGTTCATGTGTGCAAACAGAATAAATTGGCATTCTTGTGCTGCTCCCCAACTCTCAAAGAACAAAACAAAACAAAAAAGAAGAAGAGTAGAGCTGCTTGAAGCCACCAGGTGGAGAAGAGAAGGAAGGGGGGAGGGAGCAAGAGTGTGCCCAGGGTCACCCAGCCAGGAAGGCAGGTAGGTGAGCCTCAGGAGGGCCCACACTGGAGGTTAGAGTGGGGGTGTTATTTATTTTCCCTCAGGACCCCAGGACCCCGATGGTTGGTTGGAGGCCCCACCCCATCAAACTGGTGCCACCTGTCTGGCTGGCATCAGGCTCTGGTCTCCGGCAACCGGCCCTTGGCATAAAGCCAGGGGAAGTTTTCTGTTTTCCAGATTCTCGCCCCACGCCCGCCCCACTGCCCCCCGATTCCCAACTCCGGAGATTCTGGAACCCCAGGACCCAGCTGAGCCACTGGACCTCTTGGTCTATCACCGGGCGCCCCTTCCCACTCCACCGCGGGGCACTTCCGCCTCGGAATCTCCGGGCTCGGCGGGGCAGGCCCCCTTCCCGGTCCCAGTCCCCACGCCCCGAGTCCAGGCGGTCCCCGCCTCACCTTGGTGGTCCTTTCGCTGCAGCCAGCAGCGGGCCAGCTGCAAGGCCAACGCAGCATTGGCCCGCTGGTGCTCTCCCTCCAGGCCCAGGGTCAACGGCGGCCCCCCTTCCTCCAGGGCTTCCAGCGGTGGACACAGGTAGAGGGGACACTGCAGAGGAGTCAGAGGAGCTGCTGCTGCCTCTCTGGACAGGAGGCCCTTCCCGATGTCGTCAGCTCCTCCATCTTTCCCCACAGCACGAACCCAGCCCTGCTCCTAGAACCCAGCGCGCTCCGGCTGGGTGAGCAGCGGCCCAAAAGGATGAAGCGCTCCCCAGCACTTCCAGTCACTCACTGCGATCTGCTCAGCACGCTCCCTCAGCACGGCCAGGGGCCCATCAGGCTGGGGCACGGTGAAGGCAGGGACGCCATGCTGTGGAGGACGGAGAGGAGACAGGTCTGCCGAGGGTCCTCCACCTTCATCTCTGGCCCCCGCAGCCTTGGGTCGGAGCGGCCCTTTTCGCCTCCCCCATAGTGCTGATGGGAACCATCTGATGGGGAGACTAAGATTGGAGATGAGGCTCAACTTGCTCCAGCCACATGCAGAGCTGAGACAAGAACCCAGACCCAAGTCCTCTCCTGAGTCAGGATAGCAAGGACCCTGCCCCACTCCCTCTTCCCTGAGCTCTAAGGGCCAGGCCCATGTACCTCCCCTCCCTGGGGCTGCCCGATCACCTTGAAGATGCCCCCTTTCTGCCATGCGATCTTCTCCATCGTGTCCCCCAGAAGGCTAGTGTGGTCGATGCCAAGAGAGGAGACCCCACATACCACAGGCTCCCTGCAGAAGACCAAAGTTTGGCCATGATGCCCCTGCCCTGGATTACCCTGGGCTAGAGACCATCATCCCTCCCCACAAGCAGCCGCCCTCACCTGATTATGTTGGTGCAGTCATAAGCCCCACCGATACCCACTTCCACCACTGCCAGGTCCACCTGCAGAGGGTCAGAGGGCATGGCATGGGGTACAGGGCACCTGGAGGTCATGTGGGAGCCCCCAGCCTGCTTAAGATTCCCCTCCCCGAGGCCTTAGACACAGGGCTCTAGGGAGTGGGCACAGACCTTCTCTTGCAGGAAGACATGGAAGGCCATGAGCGTGAGGAAGCGGAAGTATGCAGGCATGGAGACACAGCTGCTGCTGTCCTGTGGAAACACGCCAGAGTCTGAGGTCCATGCAACCTCTGCTCTGGGGAGGTGGGGTCCTGAGAGTGCAGTGCCTTCTGGGTCCCTCCCCCTGCTCCAGTGCCCGCTTCTGTCCCCCCACCAGCCCTGCTGTATGGACACCTTGGTCTCCTCCAGCCGATGGTAGAGGCGCCAGAAGTGCTTGGTGAAGTGCTCGGGGCTGATGGGCTGCCCATTGATGCGGATCCGCTCGCGCACCTGCACCAGGTGGGGAGAGCTGCCGGGACAACTGAGGTCATCAGGACTC